AGGACCAGTTTTGTTTTGATTTTTAATTTGTTGGGGGAATAATACTTTCGTAAAATACAGTAAAAATGAATTCCTAAAAATGAAGTGAAAATAGACATACAGTATACAAGCCTGATATTATTAGATTCAACAGACATAAAGTTACTTATGTATACCAAGGAGACATGTGCGAGAATGTCGCTGGCAAATTGTCTTGTAGTAACTGAAAACAAGAAGTAACTCACATGTCCAGTGACAGGATTAGAGGTTGGAAGAAAAAACTGTGGCATAATCACATAATGGATTATTATGGACTATGAAAAAGTTATAAAAATAAATGTACTGTGAACATGCAACAGCAACGACAAAGTCTCAGAAACGTAATTGTAAGAGAAAAAACAAACCTCTAATATGATGCCTTTAAAAAAAAAAACTTTATCAGTGTAATTTACATTTCCACGTTTTAGCATAATTCACCCATTTTAAGTGTACAATTCAATGATTAATAGATTATTTTGAGATTGCAGTGCATTCTCATCACCTTCAAAATAACCCTCCTGCCAATTTTCAGTCACTCCTCATTCCCACCCCCTGCCCCAGGCAACCCCTGATCTATATTCTGTCTCTAGATTTGACTTTTCTGGACATTACATATAAATGGAATCATACCATATGTAGCCTCTTGTGTCTAGGTTCTTTCACTTAGCATAATGTTTTTGGAGTTCATCACGTTGTAGCATGTATCAGAACTTCATTCCCTTTTATTGCCAACTAATATTCTATTGTGTGGATCTACCACATTTTGTCTACCCATTCACCAGGTGATGGGCGTCAGGGTTGCTTCCACTGTTCAGCTCCTTTGAGTAACACTGCTCTGCATGCAGGTCTTCGCACAGATGTGTTTTCATTTCTCTTAGGTACATACCTAGGTGACACCGTCTTTATAAAGCTCTGAAACAAGCAAAACTAAACAGTGTGATGTTTAGAGGTACATACGAAGTGCTGAAACTCTGCTTCACAGGAGAATGATAAAGATAGCATTCAGGGGAGCTGGTGTGGGTGCATGTGGGTGTGGGGGAGGGAGATGGGAAAGGGAAGGACCAGACTCAGCTAGACAAGAGTAATGTTGGGCAGTGGATTTATGGGTCCTCACTTTATTATGCTTCCTAACTTACATATACATTAGATATCATATATACATACTACTTATATTCTATGTAACATATATTACATTATAAGAAGACACTTTAAAAAATGAAAGGCTGTCACCAATACCCAACAATTGCACTGGGTTCTCTCAAGATAACCGGGTCCCTGCTCTGGCCACCTGTCCACACTCAGCCTATTCTTGTCTCCCCCTGCCCCAGCCGCACTGGTGCCTTAGCTGTTCCTCAACTCAGGGAGCAACCCTTAGAGGGAGAATGGGTAAAAATGTCTATAGCTGTTTTACACATGAGGAAACTGAGGCTCGGAGAGGTTATTTTGCTCAGGTCATAAGGCTTGTAAGTGTGGCCCAGATTTTTCTGGCTCCTGATCCAGTGCTATCTCCCCTACACCTGGCTTTTGGAGTCCATGTGAGTTAATGCTGAATAAATATAGAAAGGTGAGATTATCATTGGTTGAGGAGCTAGAGCTGTTCATGTTAGAGGCAGGACTTGATCTGGTCTTTGAGAGATGGTTAGGTTTTGGCTAAACAAAGAAGAGCAGGTGGGTATCCAGTGAGAGAACCACGGCTCCTCTGAAAACCAATCAGTAATCGTGAGGTTCCTGATGAACATAGAATGACAAAAGTCATTTTTGGGGCATATTTTTAAATAACAGCCTTATTGAGATATAATTCATGTGCTATAACATTCCCCCTTTTAAATTGTATGATTTGGTGGTTTTTAGTATATTTAGTATATTCAGAGTTGTGCAACTACTAATTTCAAAACATTTTCATCATCTCATAAAGAGACTCCATAGCATCGGCAGTCACTCCCATTTCCTCTCCCCCAAGCCTCTGGCAACCACTCATCTACTCTCTGTCTCTATGGATTTGCCCATTCCAGACATTTCATGTAAATGGATTTATACAACATGTGGCCTTTCACTTAGCATCATGTTTTAAAGGCTTATCCATGCTGTAGCAAATAATCAATTCTTCATTTCTTTTATGGCTGAATAATATTCTGTGGTATGAGTATACCGCATTTTGATTATCTATTCATCAGTTGGTGGACATTTAGGTTATTTCCCATTTGGGGCTATCATGCTTAGGAATGGAATTGCAGGGTCACATGGCATCTCTGTTTAAAGTTTTGACGAACTGCCGATGTTTTTTCCAAAGCGGCTGTACCATTTTACAATCCCACCAGCAACGTATAAGGTCTCCAATTTCTCCGTATCCTCAACGTTTGTTATCGTCTATCTTTTTGATTTTAGGCCTCTTGGTGGGTATGAAGTGGTATCTCACTGTGGTTTGATTTGCATTTCCGCGATGACTGATGGAGTTGAGCATCTTTTCATGTGTTTATTGGTCAGGTTTCAATTTTATCCCATTGTTGGGCATATTTTCTAAGGGATATTTTTCTCAAACTGTGGTGACTTGTGACCTGTCCTCCCCTGGAAGAGAGGTGGAGAGATGGGGAGCTCTCCCAAGCAGACTGCATTTCCTTGGTGGGTCAGGCCTCTGGGGGGTCATAATTACATCCTCCTGCAGGATTCAGAGCCATCTCCATTGTTTTGATGGCAGCTGGGAGGTAGCTGACTGAACAAAGGACCTTATCTCTTCACTACCTCTCAAGGTTATTATAAAGATCAAATAAGATCATTTACACAAAAGAATTTAGAAAGGTCTAAAATGCTATCCAAATGTAAGTTGTATTTACTTTTAGATTATCTTCCAACCCCATTTAGCCTTTGCTTTTATGGTTTTTCAATGAGGCCGAAGCTGTTCCATGCTGAACCCAGATGTCCCATAGGCATTGTCACAAGGCCACGTTAGAGCTGAGGATGGGCCATGGAACAAAACCCCTGCCCTACCAGCCTCCCAGACATGGTGCTCAAGAGCTCTTCAGAGACAAGGCCCTGCTCAGACCTGCTCAAACCCTTCAGCTTTCCACTCTGTTTCTTTCCTGGTAGAAGAGAAGGGCTCCCTGGTCACAAGCTAAGCGCCAGGCTCTCTACCCCCTCTGCCCATCCTTCTGCTCCAGGACCCCTTCTTTGGGGCCTGAAGAGGTGCCACTCACAACCCCCCCCCCCACCG